CCGAGCCGTGTGGCCAGAAAGTGCCCGCCACGACGCGTGCACTGTAAGATTTATCGGTGCGCGCGTCGCCCCTGGGGCCGACGCTTCCCCCGATGGGCGAGCCCCAGGAATCAGCACCTGCTGGAAGCCGACGAACCAGCAACGGCAAGGCATCGTGAGCCGCTCTCTAGTCCCTCGAGTCTGTGGCCCAGAGGCGGCGGGAGCCCGGGCCCCAGCGGATGCCCCCCTGCCTGCTGAGTTCGAAAAGGGCCCAGGAGGGGGCCCAGGGATGGGTTTAAAAAAACACAGACACGAATCGCATGATTCCCCACATGTCCCGTAGTTCCTGGAGGTCTGCCTTCCCTTCTTCCTCCCAGAAGTTCCAAAATTTTCCGGGGAATCGACGACTACCTTCAGGTCGGAAGAAGTAGGTAGAAGCATGAAGTAGAAAGGCGTTGAAAGTAGATTGGGTGTCCGCCCGACCCCTAAAGAGAACGGAAAAGGTGAAGCCGCTTGATCATTGAAGTAGGAAGGCGCTTAAAGTAGATTGGAATATGGGGCTCCAAAAATGCATATTTTCACCGACCAATGGGTATTTGTGTCCGTGTGTTCTCCCTCCAGATCTCTTCTGATGAATCACGGACGTCGCCCGTGGAATAAGCTGACCATCCCTTCTGCCAGGGAGTCCACCACACCGTGGTATCACGATCGCCCCCACCCCCTCAGCGTACCTGCCTGGAGATACTGCGGATTGGCAACTCCTTGGGAGCACGTCTGGTGGAGGAGGCGATTTTCCAGGGAACCGTATACAAAAGGTAAGGAGAGGGAAAGGCCGCCGACGGTCAGCGGATGGGAGCTGGGGATGAGCCGCAAGTCCAAGGATGGCCCAGGTCATGGTATGAAACTAAACTTCGGCCGTGCAACATTCTAGATGCAGGTCGGCCAAGAGGCAGGAATGAGTAGCAGGAGGAGGACGCGGAGGGCTCGAAGTTGAGCGCTGTGGAGCGCTCGCAGCTGAGCCCAGACTCGGCCTCGAGACGCAAGCGAGAAGAGAACGCTGATGGAGGGAAAGATACACACGAGTTTATGTGATCGTGACGACGCCATCTCTATTGGACAGCGCATCATGGCAGCTACCCGCTCAAGGGATGTACGGGGCAGTTGCTGCATCTCAATAAATCGAAACAGTCTCCGCGCAGCGTGCAAAAGACAGGGGCACTCATATGCCACGTCCTTTAAGTGCATACGGACGTGCCTGCAGGGTATCCCCTCCTGGGTGGCTGGGGTAGCGCAACGAATTGGGCGCAAAACTCCAGCACGCCTGCTGAGATTCCCTGCAATTGAGCGCGCACGCCATGTCTTCATTGGATACAGCTAAGGGTTTGCGCAACGTGGAAAATAGAAATGCTATGAGACCCAAGATGCAAGTGGCCTGGTTGTCCCTTACCTCGCGTGCCCACCAGACCTACTCGAGTTCCACTACCAACTGCTCTACTCCACCCTTATCTAAGATGTACTCTCGATGTGCGATTCTCTGAATGTAAGGTTTGACTCTGCACAACTGTATACATGCATACACACACACCACACATGCCTATATAAACATACATATGTCCAGAGAAAACCACCAAGAAAAAGGCAGATCGAACAATCCGCTGCCCCTCAGGAGGGCTATCGCAGTCGTGCGGCTCACGGGCAAGCGAGCACAGCGAGACACGCGAACCGCAAGTCGGCGGGTGCAGAGCGCACTTGCAGGCGCCGACCCTTGAAGCAGCAGCATCATTCGATGCTGTGCCTGTTCGCCTCGCGAGCGTGCCGCTCGCACTACGAGCCGATATAGGAAAAGCAGAGAACGCGAGACACAACGAAGAGGACGGGGAGGAGCCCAGCGCATCAAAGGAGGTTCGTCAGCAACTGAAGCCCCAGAAAATGGGGGAGAGGGCAGGAGGAGGACGAGGAGGAGGAGGAGGACGAGGAGGAGGAGAGGAACAGAGAACAGCGGCGCGCGTGTCCACGGATGGCCCCACTGGGCACTTCTATAAGGCTCTGGAAAGGAAGGCGCACAGCGCGTACCAAGTCACAGCCCCAGCAACGACGTGCCTGATACATGTATCTATAAGAAACCTTCCACAAGAGCCCTAACCCTGAGACCCCAGGGCGTCCATTGCATTTTGGTGTGGGAACGTCACGCTCTCCACCGCAGGACCATCGAAACCTGGGGAACCTAGGGCACCCTGGAGGCAAGCAGGGTGTGTTTTTTTGGCATGGGCCTCCACTGTATCAACTCCAAGGTGGGCACGGGAGCAGGAGAGAGAGAGAGAGAGAGAGAGAGAGAGAGAAAGAAAGAAAGAAAGAGAGAGAGAGAGAGAGGAACGAGAGGGGAAGGAACGAGAAACGAGAGAGGGGAGAGCAGAGCGCGCCACACGTCCGCAGAGCGCCCCAAAATGCCGAAGCGGAGGCACCAAACCCACCGGGCTGGCGAAGCACACGGCAGGAAATTTGGGAACACCAAAAAGCTGCGCAATCCAGGCCGAGGCCGCGCGCCGTGTCTGCTGCCACTCCTGCGAGGGAGCCCAAGGGCCGACGAACGGCGGGATTCTGAGGGGCGAGGCGCCTGGCGAGCACGCCACGCATGCGCGGGGAGAGCACGACGAGGACAAACGACGAGACGACGACGAGGGACTTTAAGGAGAACAGCCGTCCACGCGAGGCGCCCCAGGCCGCCATCCGCGGAGCCGCTGGGCCGTTCCCCGGGCCAGCAAGGGCGCCACGCGATACGCATTCTGAGGAAGAGGAAGGGGTACGACGACCGGGGAGAAGGAGGGAGGTCAGCGGTCGCCCACTCGAGGCGTCCGGCAGCGGGGGCATCGCCCGCGGAGCCGCCGGGCCGCTCCGCCGCCCAGCCACGGCGCGAAGCAAGCGAGCTGGGCGGACAGCCGAGTGGCGGCCGGGAGATGGACGGGCTCACAGACCCCTCAGCCTGGAGAGCCGTCTCCAGAAGAGCGGGGCCCGCAGCCGCCCACGTTGCTGGAAACGGCGTGGCACGCCTGCGAACGCCGCGGCACAGCGGCCTCGGCCGCGGGCCGCGGCAGGGAGCACGGGGCCTGCGGCAGGCTCGTGCTCGCGCTCCAGAAGCCGTCGCTCACACATCGCCGAAGTGGAGGGGTCCAAAGCCGCAGACAGCGCCATCGATCCACAGGAACCCCCATGGCCTCACGCACGCTCGCGAAGTCCAGGGGTAGATTCGACGGTGGCGGCGACGGAGGGGGAGAAGGCGAGGAGGGAGGGGGGCGAACGATCGCCCACTCGAAGCATTCGGCAGCTGGGGCGTCACCCGCACGGGCGCAGACCCGCTCACGCCCACGCGCCGCCGAGCATCTGCTCTGCACCGCGGTGTCCAGCCACCGCGTCCCTCAACGCCTGCCGCGGAGCCCGCAAGACTTCCCTCGCGTCCATGCCGCCGCGGGCCCGCGCGACGTCGGGGGCTCTGTACTTAGCATTAGCGCTCAGCGCACCGAAAAACGAGTCCACGTCACTGCGCTGCGCATGATGAACGCCGAGCCGGTGTGGCAAGAGCCAGTTCGCGCTGATGCTCATGGACGTCGCGTGGGAGCGACGGACACTGCGGCAGTGCGTGTAATCTTCGATACTGTCCTTTGCCATGCCGCCGCATCCTAGCCTGCAGAAACTGTTGGCCGTCGCTCTCCGTTGGAACCTGCGCTCTACGCACCACCTGTTCCATCCCGCGTTGAAGACTACCGCGACCACACAGGGTGGAACCCGGCCGTGCAGGCGTTCGAGGCTGCGTTCGGGTTGCCACTGTCTCTGGCGTGCCCCGCAGCTGCCACCTCTCGAGCTTGTGGCGAATGCGGAAACGTGGGTGTCTCCATCCTCGCGCTGCAGTCAGCTCGCGCGCGACTGCCTGGAACGTCCTTCCGCGCCTCGCAGCGGCCGATCTTACTCTTGCTGTCGTGGTGCCCTGTGCCCAGAACTCGGCGGCGTCCTGGCACAGCACCGTCGGACTCGCCGCCGCAGACCTCGGCGCCCACAGCACGAGTGGCTCGCGGCACTGCGAGCGTGCAGCAGCTGCTCGGAGCTGCGCATATAGCTCTCGTCTCCAGCTGGGGGCCTCCGTTCGCCGAGCCCTCACCTGTGGGAGACCCGGAGCTGCCGCCAGGAGCTGCAGGGACCCGAAGGATCGCGGCATCCGACATCGTCGAGAGCACCAAAGCCAGCCTCTTGCGACAGGCGGGGGGCGAAGCTGGAGCCCCAAATGTTCGACCAGAGCCGACCTCCATCGCCCAGGGACGGCCTGGGGTGAGTGAGGCTTCAGTCGTCACCGCGGTGCGTGCCTCGCAACTGCGGAGACCCGGCCTGCAACATCCTGCAACGTCCTCGGGCACTGCCAGGTTGCCAGGCCCTGGCACGGCCAACCGCCATGCCCAAGACTCGGCCGAGAGCGCGGCGCCCGTCGGCGCCGCTGCTTGCACGAGGAGCGAAACTGCTTGAAGCGCGTAGGGATTGCACGCGGCTGCCGCGAAGTGCAGCCCCATGGCGCACCACTGCCACCCACCGACACGCTCCCGAAACGTACCCAGTGCAGTGCTCCGCATGATGTCTCCTTTGCATGGCCCGCTTCAAGTGCCAATGACTCAAGACGGGCATGCCTGAGTAGTCGTTGAAGCGGCCTACTCTGGCGTACCGCCCCACAGCGGACTTCCGACAGCCTTCGGCAGGTTCACCTCCACGCCGGACAGCTGGCCGAACTCGCGGATCGCCTGCTCCAAGCTGGTTATCTGCCTTAAGTCGGTCAAGACGACGCCAACGTCGTCCGCAAAAACTCGAATCGCCACCTTCTGCCCGAGCCCGGAGGCCAACACCCAGAGTGAGAGATCCATTGCGGTCGCGAATACGAGCGGCGACAGCGGGCACCCTTGCCTGATGCCCCAAGCGCAAAGCAGATCCAGGCCATCGGGCTCCGCCGACTGCTGCCTTGCAGCGGCCCATGTCGCATGGCGTGC